CAGGCTAGTGCACTGTAATTGGACATTCTATACCTTGGAGTGCCCTGTAACCCCCATATTTCTGATTTTTATATAATTGTGATCTTGCCTGTAAAGCATGCCATGTAAGGTATCTGGGGAAGTCACTGTTCTATCTAAATATGTGTATCATTAGTGCATATGAAGTTATGAGATTGTGTTGTATGGTTGTCAGTAAAACATGCTGTGAGTTGGGAAATCAGCCAAATATTAGCTCCCCAGAGACAACAGCAAGGAAAGTAACCAACACCTGGCTGGGTGTCAAATAACCATCAACAGCCATTGTCCAGCAAGGGAATTACAATTCAGTGACTCACCTGCATAAGGCCACACCAGGGTAATTGCTCAACCCTGCCTGGGGACTCAGCAATGCCCACCAGACATGCCTGGACTTGTGTTCTCCAAGAACACGAACTAAGGGTGTAAAACAGAACACACGGGTCCCATGCTTTGCCTTTCTCCCGCCCCCACCTATGATGCAAATAACAAGGACACTCGGAAGATCGAAGATTCCAACAGAGGGGACTGGCCCAAGTTTTAAGGGTGAAACCTGTGTTCTATGAACTGCAATATCCAGTGGGGTGAGAAACTGCTTAATCGAGATGTTACCCAGCCTAATAGGGTTGAGAGTTTAGATTGCATCCTTATATTTTATTTTATTTTGGTAACCACTCTGACTTTTTGCTTATCACTTAAAATCTATCTTTTATAGTCCATAAATTTGTTTAACTGTTTATCTTTACCAGTGAGTTTGTCTGAAGTGTTTGGCAAGGGAGTTTGCTCCGGTTTACAAAGGCTGGTGTATATCCACGTTCCATTGTTGAAGTGGTGAACCAATTAATAAATTTGCACTGCTTGTCTTGAGCAGTGCAAGATGATGTATTCCTGGGGTACAGTGCTGGGAGCTGGGGGGATTTGGCTGGTGCCTTTCTCTGTGCGATTGACGAGCGGCTCTGGGAGCATTCATGCAAACTAGCTGGGTGTGGGGCTCCACGTGCCGTTGTGCTGAGTGATCGCAGCGCCTGGAGGGGTTTGCTGCTGGTCACTAGCAAAGCATTGTGTGAGATAGCCCAGGCTGGAGAGTTAAGGGGGCACAGCAGTCCCAGACTGTACCCCAGGGATCCTGTCACATTGTTGCCCACCTGGAGACTCCAGCTAGTTGAGAACAGCTGCCCAACAACTGAATGGGACAAGCACCTGTAAACACATTACACCTGCACTCCAGACTTAGTACTGGCTTCCTGTTTCCTTCTAGGTTCAAGCCATGGTGATGATCCTTAGGGACCTGGGTAGTCCAGGACCCAGAGGTCCAAGAGATCAGCCTCCTCCCTGCCACCCCATAGATGGGATGTTCATCTTACACTAGCCTTGAAGGTGTTCATGAGGCTGAGAAGGGGCCAATTAACAAGATAGGCCACAGCTGAGGGGGAATTAGGTGGCCTAAGTAACCCCTGAATGATGATGAAGCCCAGCTGAGAAGGAACAGGCAGGGCTATTAAAGAGCCAGGAAGTGGGCAGTAGTGAGGGAGCCTATAGCCACTCTCTGGATGTTAGTGAGGAGAGGAAGGAAACCCAGGGGCAGAGTAGAAATTCTGGGATCCAGGCCCTGAAGGAAGGAAGGATTTCTCCAGAACAGTGGTGGAGTGAAAGCCTGAGAGAGGGAGAGATGGCAAAGGCTCAGTGAAATGGCAACAAGGTGGGACACTGTGGACCGTGGCTGCTAATTAGAGAGCCCCTGAGCAGGAACCCAGAGGAGAGGGCAGGCCTGGGTTCTTCTACCAGCCACTGGGGAAGTGGCCCAGTCAGGGCAGTGAGGGAGAAGACTGCCATTTTGGATGGAGAGACTTTGATAAACCCTGGGAAGGGTCAAAAACACACTGGTCTTGCTGGAGGTCCAAGCCATGAAGAGAGTATCCTGAATCACAGAGAAAGATGGCAGGGCACATGGATGACTGACAGAAGGGGATGGCAGACCTGGAAGGAGCTAATCTCCAGAGCAGTCAGGAGGAGCTGCCCTAGTGGTGAGTGAACCCCATCACAGAAGCTCTGGGTGTCAGTTCCCAGGGTTGAACCCTACTCATTGAACCCTACTCATCAGTACCAGCAGATTTGTAAAGCACAGCTGGAATTAGATGGATGCAGCAGTCAGGTTTCAACTTGCATGAGCTGGAGGATGTTTATTAATAATAATGATTATACTTTCCCCTGTCTGCAGTATGTATCTTCCAGGAATCTAAAAGCACTCTATAAACATGAGCTAATTAAGGCTCAAAACATCCTTATTACATCAGTATGGGTTACAGTTGGATCACTTAACTGCTGAAATAAAATTACCTCTACCGTGGCACACAGCAGCTGTAGACAGCGCACAGCAAGACCACACAACAGTTTAGACACTTATGTGACTTAAAACATAATAGGATATTAGGTGGGCAGATATGAACTAGAATTCTGGTCAGGACACTGAAGTTAACACAGCTCTGCTTATGTGTAGTCAGTGAGATCTTTAATGACCTTAAGTGGTTAGGATTTCTCATGTAGTACACTTTTTTTTTTAAATAATTTGGATATATCTCATCTAAAAGGCGGTAGATTCCACAGAACAGCACTCCCTAATACCAAATGGGGCACTGAGTCAGTGCTGATGACACAAACAACACCCACTTCCCCTTTTGTGTTCTCCCTACATGTAGGAAATTAATTACTTCAGTTGAACAAGAAGAACTCAGTCCTTCATCAAGTTCAAGGTTCATGTCTCTCTTCTTTCTGACTGAAGTATAGATGTTTTCTTAGACTTGAAGTCATTTATACCCTATTGTATTGTTTGTGATTATGCTTCTGATTGAATTATTTTTGTTTATTATGATTTCTAATTACTTGTAACTCACTGGCTGTGTGAGGTGGGGCAGTCCCTTAATCTCTCTGCTGGGGTTTTCCTGATGGATATAAAAATACTGCAACACATTGGTGGCTATTTGAGGCTTTATAAGTGAATATTATTTATTTAAATCTTGTAATTTAATATCAATGGGATTTTTTTGTGAGCCCAAGGAAGGGGAGTTTTTCCTTCCAGAGTTCAATCAGAATTAAGGGAAGAAATGAAAAAGATGAACCCTCATGGAAACTAGCATTGCATGGATACACTGTGCTAGAGATCTGATGTACTTAGCTGGCTGATCAAGAATGCTAGCATGCTTGACCCTGTCAGAATTAACAGGCCTTGTAGCAGATTCTATACACTAGACTTCAAAACTAGCCTGCAGAGAAGATGCAGGTGGTCTGCTGGCTGGTCACATAATGCTGGCACGCCTCCTTGTTTCCATCGGTTTCTTCAGGCTCCTGCAGGTTCTTAATGGCAAAGTATAGCCCAGAAGCCTGTAAAAGTAGCTGGAGAGGAGGAGCTTAGGGCTCACCACAACATGGAAGGAAACGGGAACTGTACTCTGGGACCACAGCCACTGGTGGGAATGGGGCTGTTAGCTGCCAATGGGACAGGAATATATAGGGGAGGAAGAAGTAAAGGATCCAGGCAATATGCCCAGAGATGCAAAGGGAAGAGGGAACCAAACACCAGGAAGAGAGATACAATGGGAGAGAAGTACCAGACAACAGAGTAGCATTTGCAGAGAAGAGAGGGGAACCACAGATGGGAAGGAGAGATTGATACTTTCAAAATGGACAAAACACTTACCACAGTGAAGACAGGTAAGGACATGTAAATACTTTCCTAATATTGCTTCTCCATGTTAGCAATTGCTGTAGTCCCATTGCTACATGAACAAAAGCAGGCGGATAAGTGACCCAGGAGACAATCTCTGCTGGTAAGAGGTGGTCTATGCAAGAACCACTGCACTAAACCCCCTAGCAATGCTGAACCCTTGCAGAAATAAGGGATCAAGGAGTATGAGCCGTGCAAGGATGCAGCATGGTAGGGGATTGGTGTATGCAGCCTATGGATCAAGGTTCAGTGCAGCTGGAAGGATAACTTGCAATCAACTTTTGCAATCTAAAAGAGACAATTTAATAAATACAGCAATATAATGTTTTTTTTTTTGATAGCGTGAGCAAGTAGTAGAAATGCCTGAAAACACTTTCTTTTTCTGGCCCCAGTACAGTTTAATCATTAAACCACACTGACCAAAGCAAGGCATCAGGTTTGGATTCAGCTCAAAGAACAATTCATTAAATGGGAGAAGAAAGCTTGCTGTTTGTTACTGATTTAGGCTTTTTCCTGGGCAAAACAGGATCCTTTAATTGGCTCAGCTGAAGAAAACCAGATCAAACAGTGAGTGCGCTGGAACAACAAAGGAATGTCCTGGTATTTCTTTTTCCAAGTCTAGAAGTGGAAGTCATGACAGCCTTGGGATTTGTGGAAATTCCTCCATGCCTTGTTACTAGGTAGAGGAAATGGTCTAAAGTTCAGTTTTTAGTTTCTGCATTGCAGAGCAGGGGCCAATTTCCACTCTTTAAACTGATTTGAATTAACCCAGCGCTTTACTGGTTTGGGTGTAAATGGCATTTATAGTGTCTCATAAAAGCAGCTACAAAGTTAGTTAGTTGATCAAGTGAATTGTCAAAACACCTATTATTTCCATGATGATCTCCCCCAATCCCAATTCCAGGTTTAGTGGCACAAGGCCTAGTAAAATAAATGGAAACATTTTTCCATTCCTGCTAGTGTTTCTTTCTGGCAGCTGCCAGAAAGAATCGGAATTGTAAAGGTTATATTTGCAATACACTCTGTGTCTTGCAGAACTTTTCCCTGTTAAGGATCCGTCTATATATTTCTGTAATAACGATTATTGTGTTTAATTTTCATCACTTATTTCCAAACTCCATTGGAGCTGCGAGTCAACCAAGAGCCCATGACCCCCCTCAGGAAGGCTATAATTAGAACAGCGGGGGGGAAATCCTGATTTAAAACAGTTCAAATTATTTGCTTTCCTTGTTACAATATAGTTTGTTGTTGTTGTTTTTTTAAGGGTGTCTCTGTGGATAAACGCTGTGCTGACAAGACTGGAGTCCTGCAAAGCTTGAAGGCAGGAAATGAAATAGGATGCACAATCCCGGAAGCCTGAAGTGTCCCTCAGGGGAGGCTTTCCCTAGATGAGCCAGGAAGTAAAATATTGATCAAGTCTTGCCAAGAAAAATCTTTCTCCAGAAAATCCTCTTGGGCTTTGAGTCCTGGTGGAATGTGTTCTCGTTCCCCCTCTCTCTCTTTCTTCCCTTCCTCTTTCCCAAATTCTTTTTAAAGAGGATTGTTCCAGCCCAGCTAATTCGGGAGTATCACACTAACTGGTATTATTTATGGATTCTTGTAAGGTATAGAGGACAGGGATTGTCTGTCTGCATGTGTACCTTATTTAGCAGTCTGGGCCCTGATACTGAATGGGGCCTTTAGCTGCTACTGTAATATAAACATTGATGAGCCTCAACTAAAGTTGGCCCTACCAGGTGAGGAGGGGCCTGGTGTGGTGTGGGGCAAGCCAAGTCTCCTTACCTTTCATTGTTGTAATGCTGTCTAGCGTACCCAAATGGCCTCCATTGCCATAGGTTCTGAGCACCTCACAAACACCCCTGTGAAGTAGGGCAGTACTATTAAACCCATCCTACAGATGAGGAACTGAGGCACGGCGAGACTGACTTGCCCAAAGTCATAGAGCAAGTCTACCTTGGAGGAGGCAAAAGCAGAACTGAGAGATCCTGAATCCCAGTCTAGAGCCTTAAGCACAAAGTCATTCAGCAGCATTTACTGCTACTGTCCAGGGCAGTCGGTCCACTTTCACCCAGATGAAATTCACAGAGCTATAAACCCCCCAGCCCTTTCTCTGCAATATCTCACATGCATTTTTAATACCATAACATGCATAAGGATCAAAAATGCTTTCCATTTAATCTCTGAGGATAAGCAAGAAGGATTCAACGTGCCAAAACCTATAGGGCTTTCTGTCTTCCTTATAGGCTCCAAAATAACCTCTAAGCACCTTTCAAGTGATTAGCCCCAACTGAAGGATGGGATGTTAGCAGGCACAAGAGTCTTGCTATCTAGACTTGCTAAGTCTTTCATAGCAAAACCTTTTATCCTGCTCTCAAGAGCTGATTTTGACTCCAATATTCTATGACCAGGGTAAAAGCTTCCCTAGAGCGTAAATATGGGCTGTCCCCAAATATGAGCTTCCAGGTGCCAGAAAAATTCTCTTAAAGGGTGAGGGGTTTTTTGCAAGTCAGTAACTTTTGCACATCAAGTCAATGACCTGTGCAGATGTGTAAAATAGGCACACAAATCGAAAGCCTCATTGTCCAAATAGACTCTGGGAGCAGGAAAGCTCCATGCCCAATGATACAGTATTTGGGGGCTCGATAGTACTGAGCCATTTTTAAGAGGGTGTTTTTTATATCTTCCATACATGCCTTATTTTTGTTCTAACATTTTATTATAATGTCTTGCTATTGACAGTGAAGTGCTCTGAGAGTTAATGTAAAACAGTCTTACATTTTGTGTGTTTTGGGTTATTTGTTTAAGCTTCTATTAGGCTTGTCATGTGAGTCATCAGACAAAAATGTGAAAAGGGAAAAAAAATTGTCTACATGTTCATACTGGGCGGTGAAAACAAGATTCATGAATACCTCACATAGGGGATTGTTCTTTGTTTTCAAGGGAAACTGAATCCCCTGGTCAAGGAAGACTTTAGTGTGATAACTGAAACTAATTTATTATAGCTCTTTATCAAGACATTAGTTTTGTGTTTCCCACTGATCTCCAGGCTCCTTTATATTCTTGTTTAAAGCTCTGAAATTATCTAGCCCATTTGGTGACTTCTAGATGTAATGCTCTGGATACATCAACTCCCAGTTACTAATCAGGACTTTAGAGTAACCAAACGGGAGCCTAGATCCTAGACAATATAAGCCAGGTTTTTTCACTTAGTGCAGTGAATGCTGGGATGGGACTTTAGAATTTTAGTCAGTATAGTCAGGCTACTCAAGCAGTGCAGATGTGACCAATAAATCCCATAGCTGTGTAATTCACTGTTAAGGAATGCTTTGCTTTAAGAAACTCTCAGTTACTGGGAACGCAACTTCTGAACTGGAGCCTTTAGCTGTGGTGCCCTTGAATTGTGTTGCTCAAGAAACACAGTTACTATCTCCATTTTTGAAGAGCAAGTGACAGGCATAGTGTGTTTGTGTTTTCTGTGGTGTCTCCCATTCAGTTCTGCTGTGGGACCTATTACATGACCAGGGTTGTATAAAATATAGCAAAAGCAAATATATAAAAGGAGATTATCTTGTACTGTATCAGTCAAACAGCTCTGCCTCCTGCTGCGACTGAGGGAAGAAGAGAAGCATCGTGTTTCAATAATTTAGAAGTAGGTGTTCTGGAACTTCAGTGATGATCCCACTAGTTTCTGGTGAGGCCAATACTTAGTAATGGACAGCGAAAAGCTCCTCTGCATGTAATTCAAGTGTCTACCATTCCCAACCAGAGAAAGGATAGAGATCTGCTGCAGAACTTGCATCCCTCCAACCCACCTGCTTATAGGATTATCTTCAGTGGAGTCAGGTGGGTGACAGGAGGAAATCAAATGAACAGAAAACCTTTTTTTTTTTTTAAGGATGCTAAAGAAACCGGGTGAGCACAGCTCCGCGGTGGCCTCCACTGCAATTTTGTGGGCAGTGCTTTCTGTATACAGACAACTCAAGAATGTTACTGTGTTGGATCAGGAGATGACATATAATTTCTTCACGTGACACTGCAGAATGTGAGACTTCTGAGCCTGTCTTGAACTTCACCATAGATGTTTGGATCCGCCTCTAGTTAAGACAGAACGATTGGTTATGAAAATGTATTAACTATTGTGAGGGAAGGAATGGAAGGACCTGATTGGCCCAATGAGAACATCACTGTTTTGTTTCTCAGTGACCTCCAGACACCTACGGAGCCACTCATATTGGCACTATGCTCTGTAGTAAGCATTTATGGGAGCAGACCTCTAGGCTGTCACATCCTAGGGACAAGGACCTGCCTTCCCGCATGACCGTGAAACACTCTTGGGCACTTCATAAACAATGAGAAAAATAATGCAGTAGCAGGTAGCCTGATCCCAACAGTCAAAACCACAATAAAAGAGACCCGTGTTAAGCATCATTCAGTGAGCCAAGAACTTCCGTGGGGAACTAAGTGTGAGTGATGGAGACATGGCCATATAATTCTCAGTGCTTCTTTGCTCTGTGCCTCTTAATAGAAAGCTGCACCCCCTGGCTGAGCACATAAACCTGAATATTGCTGTGACCAGACACATAGCTGAGATGTATTTTGGATTACATTTTAAAATTAAAATGTACACTTCTGATCTAATAGGAATCTGTTAAAGCAAGAAACTTTAGTCTGGGATTCACTGGCCTGTCCCAAGCAAAAAGCACTCGCTGACCATGGCAGTGCCGGGTCTGCCCCATGGGCTAGTCATTTCCTTGGGTTAATCCATCAAGAGATGCAGTTTTCAGCTGAGTCAGCTAGAGGGAAATTACAGACTGAAATTTCCTACTTTACATCCTAATCTTGCAAGATGCTGCTGAACATCCTCCGCTCCCAGGGGGAGTGAAGGGCTCTCAGCACACAGCAAGATCAGGCCCCCAGTACCTGTGTCTGAACTGAATGCTTGCAGCAGCTATTTCATTGCAAAGTGAGGTCCTTTTCCTGATGGTCCTGTCCCTGGGGCACCAGAGCTGACCTGCTCAGAAAGAGGAAAGAAAACCCTTCATCCCAGTTCTGCACTCTCCTCACAGCGGTTAACGTAACAGGGTAGCGTGCTCATCTTCCAGAAAGAGTCAAGCCAGGGCAGCTGCACAAATACCCCAGACTGTACTGCACATGCAAAGGACATTTGCAGCAGAAAGGGCTGGCGCAGGGGAGGCCATGGGGGGCATTTTCAAAAGTACTCGCAAATAATTAAATTAGCTCAGCGGCAGCTAGGAAAGTTGCAGTCTCCAGTCTAGGTCTGATCTTCCGAGATACAGCACCTGCAGCTGGCACAGAAGCAGCAGGACTTGGGGCCAACAGCCCAGCTGGGGCCAACAGCCCAGCCAGGGCGACCCCCTTTCCCCAGACGCCGCCAGAGTGGGAAGTGCTCCCTGGGAGCATAAGGCCCCAGTAGCCCTCGTCCCCCAGCCATGCAGGTAGAGGGAGGCAGGATTTCTCCCAGGGGGTGGCTAGGGTCTCTGGGATCCAGAAGGTGCAGCTCCCCCTCCACAATGTGTGAGTCCAGCAGAAGCGGGTGTTTTGCTGTTTGGTCCTAGCCCTTCTCTCTGGGCCCACAGCCAGCAGGAGGACTCCAGGCCAAGGCTCCTCTATCTACATCCCTCGTGTCACTTGGGGCCGGAGGCTCCCTCATGCCAGGCACTCCTGAGCTGGCCCCTCCTGAGCCTTTCCCAGCTGCCTGACCCAGCCCTGCCAGGTCTGGGGGCGATCCATTTGCCTGTGGAGAAATCCCTGCCTGATTGGCTAGCTATCCTCTTTTTCCCCACCTCCTGGAAAAGGCCAGCCAATCAGTGCTGGGGCAAGCATTGAGGGACAGCCTGGAAGCAGCACCTGCGGCAGCTGCTGCTCCAGCAGAGACCCCTCTCTCAGGCATTCCTCTGGCCCCTGTGGGGTGGGGGAAGAGGAGGCTTCAGCTGCTACTCTTTCTGGTGTCTGAAGTGAGGGGCGGCACCCCGTGGAGCACTTTTAAAATGCGATATCATGGTGGGGATGGGGCTTAACAGCAAATGTGATGGGGCCATAGGTGCTGGAGGCAGGAGAAGGGGGAGCATGAAGGGCCATTGGCCTCCACTTTTTAAACTGGGTCATGCCCCCCATCTGTGAGAACCTGAACTTGGCAGGGGTGGAACTGGGGGGTGGGTTGAGGAGGGGAGAGGGGCAGGCGTAACAGCAGAGTCTATTCCCTGCTGGCATGACAGAGGGGCAGTCAGGGCAAATTTGAGTGGTGGTGTGACTGCATGTGCTAGGTTGCAACGCTGCTCACTCAAACTTGGTCCATTTAAGTTGCTTCCCCCTCTGCCTGCCCCCTTCCCCCCCATTTTTACAGTCCGCTTGGTGAGGTTTAAACTGAAATGCCCGTGGGAAAAGAGCACTGAATACTGGGGTCTTGCTCCAGCCCCGTTTCGCTCTCTTCTCTTTTCCCTCCCTTAGTCTTTGGTGTATTTTTTTGTGTGTTTCTGTCTTCCCAGCTCTAAGCAGGTTTGCACACATTTATGTAATTCCCATAAATTTAAGTTTATGCAAATGTGTGCTTGCTATTTTTCGTGCTGAGGACGTTGGGTGCGTATGCCCATCAGCAGGGCTCTCCTTGTTCAGACCCCGCCCAAAGGCTCAGGCCCACACCTGCCAGCCAAAGTGTGTGCGTTAAACACCCCATGCAAGGGTAACCCACTGGTGAGTGTATGTCCAAGGTCCCCAAGCACAGAGCTGTGGCTTATTCTGTAACCATTCATGCTTTTAGCCCTGGAGGTCCTTTGGTTCAACTCTGGTGTATTGGCCACAATGGCAGCTATCACCCAAGCACCTCCTGCTGGACACAGTGCTTGTTTCACTCTGCTCTGATTTCTTCATGGTATTGTCTTCTGTTAGCTCCTTTTTTCCACACACGCTCTTAAGCCCAACAAGAACCCAATGACACACAGTTCAAGTCACAGTCTCTGTGACTGCATAAGTTTAAAACTAGACTAAAGGGATTTGTGCCTCCCCACGGTGTGTGAAATAGAGTGGACGTCCCATCCCCTTTAAGTGCAATGCCAGTGCTGAAGAAGCTCTGCTGAGAGTGAAATGGCGCTGGGAAGAAACTGTCTTTTTCTAGAGGAGGGTTGCAGTGTGTCTGCAAGGAGAAAGAGTTCAACGTGGTCAAGTGAGAGGGAGAAAGTGATGCCCTGCGAGGGTAAACTGCTCTAATGTGTGAAGTTTGCTGAGCTGGATACGGGGCCTGTGGGGCAGCCATCCTACTCTTTCCTTTGCAATCGCGGCTCTTTGTTGGCTGTATATAAAAGGGGAGTGACCTCTGTTTTCTGCACTTATTAGTGCCAGCCCCTGCCTTCGTCACTACTCAGTTTCCCACTGTTTCCTCTTGGGAGGGCAGAAACAGAACAGGAGTGCTGTCTGAGGTTACAAATTCACATTCCTCAGCAATAAAAATCCTCTGTTTTAGAGCAATGGAATTGGTTATTGCTGCACTTGTCAGGCACTCGGTTGTGTCCTCTCTTTATTTACACAGTCATATTTTCGGTTCACTTGTGTCTTGGCATTATGGATTCATGTCATCATGTGGTGAATCATTCTTATTCCCTGATCATGCATGAAGGAGATGATGTACCTAACATTCTTCCCTGGATGGAGTTACCTCTTCCTTGTATTGCACAGTGACTCTCTGTGATGAGCCTGTCACATGGATACTCTGATGATGGCTATTGATATAAGAACCTGGGCAGATGTTTGTACAGTGCCTAGCACAGGGGGCTCCTCGTCCATGATAGGGGCTCCTAAGCACTACGAATAATAGATATAGTACAACAACCCCCCCACCCCAAAATACTCTGGGATGTTAGCTTACTCTGAAGGCAGTGCAACACAATATTGTGTTTAAGTGGCCTAATGTTAAGCAAGCTGCCCTATGAGACTGTTAGAGTTCAGATTGTTCAAGATTTAAAGGAATTTTTTAAATACCTATTTGGAGTTTAGTATCGGGGGTAGCCGTGTTAGTCTGTATCCACAAAAACAACAAGGAGTCCGGGGGTACCTTAAAGACTAACAGATTTATTTGGGCATAAGCTTTCGTGGGTAAAAAACCCACTTCTTCAGATGCATGAAGTGAAAATTACAGCTTTCATAAATGGTCCCATTGACACATCTCCATTTAAATACAATGGGATTGACTCACTGGTGCCCTGCATCTTGTGCACTCATTTGACATTGGTGCCAAGTGCGTGTAAAACTCTTTTTGGTTCTTTCAGGTTCTTATTCTGTGTCTATGATGGTGGTATCTGGTATCCCCATTTCCCTAACCCGTGCCCCAGATTCACATGCTCATTGTCTGTATGTTCAGGGATGAATAAGAGTGCATTGGCTTGGTGTTGGGAGGAGGGAACAAGGAACATAAAGAATTTCAAAGGCATCTGAAAACAAACAATGAAGAGTGCTAGGTTTATTGTCCTGCTGTGCTGGAAGAAGGACAGGAGACACTGGATGTGGCTTAATTAGGCTGCAACTTTATTTTTATACACATGGGCGCCAACTTTCCATTGTGCCAGGGGATGCTCGACCCCCGGCTCTGCCCCCGGCCCTGCCCCCACTCCATGCCTTCCCCCAAGGCCCCACCCCTGCCTCTTCCCACCCCATTCCACCCTCTTCCTCCTTCACTCCACAGCCTCCTGCATGCTGCGAAACAGCTGATTGTGGGGGTACGGGAGGGGCGGGGGGCAGCACTGATCCGCAGGGCCCTCTGGTGGGCAGGAGGGTCGCTGGGGGGTGGGGGAGGAGCTGATGGGGGGCTGCCGGTGGGTGCTCAGCAACCAAAACTTTTTACCCAGGGGTGCTTCAGCCCCGGAGCACCCATGGAATCGGCAC